AGGACCCGCTCAATCAAGTAGCCAGCTTGCTGATCTAGTGATCACTCATTAGTAACGCAAGTAGGACTTAGTCAAATCTCTGAATTTTTTTTTTTTCTCGCAACAACTATCTGAAAATATCTGATATTCGCATTTCGTTTTACCTGAAAAATTTTGATATTAGTAGTTCGTTTTTACGTAACAAATATCTTAAAATTTCTGATAAATCGCATTTCGTTTTGTCTGAAAATTCCCGATAGTAGCTTTTCGTTTCTCTGATATTTCGCATACATAGCTGAAATTTATGAAGTTAGTATCTCATTTTCCAGGCACATTGGGATAACGATAGAAGTGGTCATATTCTCGGAAACTGAAATTATTCTTTTCTGAAAATCGAATTTCCATTTGATTCCGCAAATTTTTTTTGGAAACCGAAATCTTGCTAAGCCTACCAATATTGCGTTAGGCATATTCGGAGGTTGCTATATTCTCAGAAACTGGATTTCGTTCTTTTCTGAAAATCGCATCTTTACTCCATTTCGCAAATTTTTTTTTCAAGATCGCAGTTTGTAAAAGCCGAAACTTTGCGGAACCTAGCCTAGATCTCGTTCATAGTACTCTTCTGACATGTCCTACTCATAATAGATCGACAGATATACAAAAAAAAAAAGAAAAAAAAAGGAAGTAGTCCTGTTTTATTTTGTTTTAAATTTTTTATCTGTTGATTAGGGCCGGAGGAAAGTATTGTTGGGTTGGTTGCCTACCTACGTTTTCCCTCCCACCCACCCCTTTGCATGCATTTTCGGGTTGGTACAGTGCCACGTAAGCAGTGCCACGTCAACAGTGCCACGTAAGCAGTGCCACGTCGGACACAGTGACACGTCGGCAGTGCCATGTCAGACACAGTGCCACGTAAGCAGTGCCACGTCAGCAGTGCCACGTCAGCAGTGCCACTTCAGACACAGTGACATGTCAGCAGTGCCACGTCAGACACAGTGCCACGTAAGCAGTGCCACGTAAGCAGTGCCACGTCAGCAGAGCCACGTCAGACACAGTGCCACGTAAGAAGTGCCACGTCAGCAGTGCCACGTCAGACACAGTGCCACGTAAGAAGTGCCACGTCAGCAGTGCCATGTCAGCAGTGCCACGTCAGACACAGTGACACGTCAGCAGTGCCATGTCAGACACATTGCCACGTCAGCAACATGACAGGCCTGCCAGGCCAACTGGCCAATGAGCCCATTGCCGACTACAAAAAGCGCTTCAAGGCTCAGCTCGCTGTAATCGAGGCTGAGGAACAACGCCAGCTGGCAGTCAAGGCTGCCCAACTACAGGCTGAAGAAGCGGCAACAACAGAGAAGCTGCGGCTATAGGCCGAGACGCAGATGCCCAGGCTCGCCGCAAGGAAGCCCAGCATCTGTTGCAGCGGCATGAAGCCAACAACATTGAGAGACTCAAGTACTGGCACTTTGAACCGAATGGCGACGAGGCAACACCGGAAGAACAGCATAAGGAGTTCATGGCCAAGCTCGTGACCAGGTTGGTTTACACATGTAACCACCTACAGTCCGAGCTGGCGAACCTCCAGCGGGCCGTGCGGAACCATAAGACTCAGCACGAGGATGCCACACGGGCACTGGACGCCCGTGTACGCGACTTGGAACAAGTTCCACCAAGACCAGATGCTGGGGCTTCCAGCAGTGCATCCTCTAGCCGCCAACTGGAGGAACGTGTTGACCACGTAGTGGCAATGCTCGACGACATCAGCACCTTCGCTGCGCCGACCACCATCAACAGTCAACTGCATACCTTGAAGACCGAGGTCCAGCAGTTGCAGTCGACGAACGCGGATGGCAATCCGAAGTTGTACAAGATGCCAACTTTCCAACTGGACAGGTTCGACGACTACACGCAGCAGGATCCGGTCCTCTGGTGCGAAGCATTCACAACGCAACTCAGGATTCTGCCAGTCGCCAAGCAAGCGTACATCGGCGCCCTGTTCATGAACTCAAAGGGCGGATGCCAGACCTGGTTGACCCACCTGGCAACCTCCCACGGCGTCGACGTACCGGACTTGAAGGACAAAATCACATGGGAGGAACTGACACGGCTGTGGAAGAAGCGGTTCATCGTCGACGACGCGCAAGCACTCGCCATCAACCGTCTGTTCACCATGTCACAAGGCAACACCGCAACACGGGATTGGCTCACTGAGTGGCAGAAGATTGCGACAGTGCCCAATCTGGACTTGCCATTCATGCATTTACGTCGTGAGTTCTACAACAGGTCCTGTGCTGCATTGAGCCAGACTCTTGGTGATCGCGAGCAGTACTCAACCTTCGCTGAGATCATTGACAAGGCGAGGGAAATCATCAAGACCAACAGGTCAGCTGCACACGAGAAGTCAACATGGCAGCCGACCTATGTGGAGAAGGTACGAACTGGTCCGCGACAACAGCACTTTGCTGCAGTCCAGTTGGACAGTGGAGATAACCAAGCAGCCACTCCAGCATCAGGTGACGGAGATCAGGTGGCTGCTGTCCAGCCGCGAAGCAACGACAAGTCCCGCAACACTGGGAAGGCGAAGTCCGCATCGCAGGCCGGAAATGGACAGCCAGTACAAGTTCCATGGATGAAGTTCGGCTTGACCGAGGCAGAGTACAAGGTCTGCAGCCGCTACGGCAGCTGCTATTGGTGCAACAACACCAAGCACAAGACCTCCCTGTGCCAGGATCAGGGCAAGGAGGATGTGCGACCCCGCCTCAACTCGGGAAACTGAGTTCCACGGAAGGTGAGGCGACTCCACCTTCTACTCCGCCAGATTTGGCCGCCTTGCTAGCGGCCTCCTACATATCAAGGGAGGATGCGAATGTCGCAGGTTCTCGTTACACTTACGAGGACTGTGCTGTCCACTTGGTTCCACCGCTGGACCAACCGCTCCATGTGCAACAATCTACCGTATGCACGGTTTCATCACCATCGGCAACCGATTCGGCAGCTTCGCCGCCATCTATCACTGGGGATTCATCGTCGTGGTCAAGACTTGAAGTGTTCGACCCACTGACGTTCACGGACTTCCAATGGATGCCCTTTCCCCCGACCGGACGATTGCCGAAACCGCATTGCAATGTGCTCATGGCACAACTGCGGGATTACTTGCACACTGCAGTACCAGCTCCGTTGATGGACGCCGGAGTAGAGGTTGTCGACCTTCACGCTTACATTGCGAAGATCGACCGCGAGTTCAAGACGCAACGGTACGACGACATCGACGCACCATTGCTATATGTACGCATTCAGATCGGAGAGGCGACCTGCAACGCCTTGATCGATTGCGGAGCATCTCGCAACTACATCAGCCAGGACTTCATGGTGCGCGCCGGCCTTGGCCCACGCGTCCGGAGGAAGTCCTAGCCTACGAAAGTCACGTTGGCGGACGGTCACACGCACAAGTCAATCGACCGGTGCATTGACAACGTCCCAGTGTACTTTGCCCCTCACGCAAGTGAGGCGGTGTCCTTTGATATTCTGGACACCAAATTTGACATGATCTTGGGCATGTCATGGCTGCGAAGCGAGGATCACCCGGTGAACTTCTTCCACCGCACCGTTCACATTCGTGATCGGACGGAGTACTAGTTCCATGCACGGTGAACTTCGATTAGCTGCCACGTGGTATCCGCCGCAAGCATGCGAGCTTCCATCATCAGAGACGACATCGAGGAAATGGGGGGGTGTTTTCTCCACGCATCACCGCGCTTCTTCAAGGAAATGGGGGGGTGTTTTCTCCACGAGGAAATGACGCTTCATCGACGGACTCATCTTCGGATACACGCATCACCGAGCTTCTTGACGCCTATAACGACGTGTTTGAAGGCCCGCACGGAGTAGTACCGGATCGGCCCATCCGCCACGAGATCATCCTCGAGGACGGGGCCGTACCTCCGCGCGGTTGCATCTACCGAATGAGCGAGGAAGAGTTAAGTGTGCTCCGCGCACAACTCGACGACCTTCTAGAGAAAGGCTGGATTCGGCCTAGCTCATCGCCATACGGTGCTCCTGTTCTCTTCGTTCGGAAGACGAACAAGGACCTGTGGTTGTGCATCGATTATCGCAAGCTCAACGCGCAGACAATCAGGAACGCCGACCCTCTCCCACGCATCGACGACCTTCTCGAGCGACTGGGCGGCGCCAAGTTTTTCTCCAAGCTGGACCTCAAGTCGGGATATCACCAACTCGAGATTCGCAAGGAGGACCGTTACAAGACTGCGTTTAAGACGCGATATGGGCATTTCGAATTGCTGGTTATGCCATTTGGCCTTACGAATGCCCCGACCACTTTCCAAGCGGCTATGACAACGGAATTCCGACATATGCTGGATCGTTTCGTACTTATCTACCTCGACGACATTCTGGTGTACAGCCGGAGTTTGGAGGAGCATGTGGAACACCTGCGCACCGTTTTGGAGCGACGACGACAAGCCAAGTACAAAGCCAACCGCGAGAAGTGCGAATTCGCGCGGCAGGAGCTGTAAACTTAGGCCATTATGTGACGCCGCAAGGCATCCGTCCGCTYGCGGACAAGATCGAGGCCCTACGAGTATGGCCCGAGCCCACCAACACCACGGACGTTCGTTCATTCATGGGATTGGCGGGCTACTATCAGCGATTCATCATCGGATACTCAAGGATTGCTGCACCTATGATGAGGTTACATACACCAAAGATGCCATTCGTATTCGATGACGATGCACGCCRGTCATTCCAAGCACTTAAGACGGCTATGCTCATGGCACCCGTCCTTAGCATCTACGACCCCACCTTCCGGCTACGGCATTGGGGCAGTCTTGGAAGAGCACGACGACGACGACTGACACCCTGTGGAGTATTTCAGCCACAAAGTGCCTCCCATCAACTCACTTGATGATGCAAGGAAGGAGCTACTCGCGTTCGTCATGGCTCTCAAGCGAAGGCGACACTTCCTCCTTGGGTGTCGTAGGTTCACATGGGTTACAGACAACAATCCATTGACCTACTACAAGACGCAGGACACGGTGAGCAGCACGATCGGACGATGGATGTACTTCATTGACCAATTTGACTTCACACCGAAACATGTCCCCGACCTCTCCAATCGCGCAGCAGATGCACTCTCGCGAAGACCTGATCTTTGCGCTATGACACATCATACCTTCGCATTCGACGAGGAGCTTTAGCGATACTTCATCCAGGCATACCAGTCTGAGAGGCAAGGATTTACTGTGTGTCCCACGCGACCGTCGTCTTCGGACTTGCCTCCTCGGCGAGTATCATGATTCGCGACTCGCCGGCCATTTCGGAGTCAACCGCACTATTGCACGGCTTCGACAGAGATTCGATGGCCTAACCTCATTACCGATGTCACTCGGTATTGCGACTCTTGCGAAGTTTGCCGATGCAGCAAACCCCGCAACCGCAATCTCTATGGCGAGTTACACCCGATGCCTATTCCACGGGAACCCGGTCTCTCCATTGCTATGGATGTCACTGGTCCGTTTCCTCACGACCGGCTCGGGCACGACGGCATCCTCACGGTTGTGGACCGATTGAGTAAGTACGAACGTTTTCTCCCTTGCAAGTACTGCTCTACGGCTCCCGAGCTGGCACGCCTCTTGCACACTGGTTGGATTTGTGGACACGGTGTACCAGAAGACATAGTCAGCGACGACGACACTCGTTTCATGTCAGCATTTTGGACTGCGCTCGAGTCCGACACGACGATGAAACCAAGTTCGGCTCGGTATCCACAAACGGACGGGCAAACGGAGCGGGCACATCAAACCGCTCAAATGATGCTTCGTACGCTCATCCGTCCGGACCAGAAAGATTGGGTTGACCGCCTCCCCGACATCGAGTTCGCCTACAACAGTTCGGTGCATCCGGCGATCGGCGTGACTCCATTCGAGTTGCACCACGGTGGACGGAAAGGCCGGATCTTCGCCGACCTTCTCCTCCCTCGAGCAGCCG